ACACACACACACACACACACACACACACACACACACACACACACAACAGTTGCACCTCTGCAGAAGAAGAGTTCAAACATCCAGTCAAAGCTCAAACACATGAAGGTCACGTGTGGTGAATGTTTTTACACTACACAACAATTTCTGTTTAATGGACAATGAGCTTGAAGGCAGGTGTTCTTCAGAAGATCTCATGAGAATAATCATTTTAACACAAAGACAAATGTGTTCCCATGTGTTTACTTTAAAATAATCTGTGCATTTATGTGTGTGTGTGTGTGTGTGTGTGTGTGTGTGTGTGTGTGTGTTCAGGGTATCCTTGGCCTCTATAGAGGAATGGGGGCTCCGCTGGCGGGCGTGGCTCCGATGATGGCCATCAGTTTCTTTGGCTTCGGTCTGGGGAAACAGCTCCAGCAGACGGATCCTGGCAAACTTCTAACGTTAGTTAAACCCCACACACACACACACACACACACACACACAGACACACACAGACACACACACACACACACACAATACCTGGAATAGAGATCTATATAAACTCTCTGTTGTCCTTCCCCCTGCTTTCATTCGCTCATTTGAAGTACGCCCCTCTCCTCACGTTACCCTTCCACCTCCCACCAGCCCTGTGTCTTCTGACCCCATCTGCCCCTCGAGCTATAAATGACGAGAATGTGGCGGTGACACACGTGTTGGCTGCGTCCGTCCTGGTGTTTCTCACACCGAGCTCTGTACAACTCAGCTCCTCCTCCTCCTGATGCTCCCCGAACATTTGCTTCCTGTTTTCCAGGAGAGACGCTGGCGAGTTGAAAGTGTCCCTCCCAAAGTGACAAGATGTAATAAATGCTGAGGAAGGATTAAAAACGTGAATGCATGGCGTCACTTTCTGGCTTCTTCGTGACATCATATGATGGAGAACATGTGTTTATGTCTGTACTTTGACCTCTGACCTTTGGGGTTTGATGAAATCCCATCAGTGAGATGTTGATTTCTGTTCTTTGTGTTTAGGCCGTCTCAGATCTTCCTGTCTGGATGTCTGGCAGGCGTCTTCACTACAGTGATTGTGGCTCCAGGAGAGAGGATCAAATGTTTACTGCAGGTGAGGTGCATCATGGGAGGTGGGGGGGTGAAACCATGTGCGTTGTTTGGAAACAAAGACGTAGAAGCTCACAACCTCTGATTGGTTCTTTTCAGTCATAAGTTAGCCTTCGCTGATTCGTCAGGCTCCTGTCACAGATGTTGTTGGGACACTAACAACCTAATACTTCCTGTTGACATCCACATGCCCAGTGAACGTCAGTGGTCACATGTGGGATTAAAACTGATGCGAAGCCCAAACACTTGATCACCTGGTTGGAAACACCCGCTTCAAACTAAAACACAGCTGTCTGGACGCAGCCTCGGATCCCTCAGTGTCGTCCACTTTAAAAGGTGATGATAGGTCAGTGTTTCTCGTTGTTTCTAACTTGAAGTACTGGGCGTGTCCAGGTGCAGGCGAGCAGCGGTAAGAAGAGGTACGCGGGTCCACTGGACTGTGCGCTCAGGCTGTACAGGGAGCAGGGGATCCGCGGCGTCTACAAAGGGACGGTGCTCACTCTGATCAGAGGTGAGCTCTACTGTGCTGTGAGGTTTGAACCTAAAGGGGAGCATTGATTCACAGCCATGTTTGTGTTGCTCTGTCACAGACGTGCCTTCTAATGGTCTCTACTTCCTCACATACGAATACCTCAAACACTTCCTGACTCCTGAGGGTCAAAGGTGAGCATCCATGGTTACGTTGCACAAAGACCTGATGGACCTCAGATAACCTCCCTTTGATTTTACTCTCTGTGTGTTTTTAGTGTTTCTCAGCTCAGCACTCCCAACATCCTCCTGGCCGGGGGCGTCGCAGGAATATTAAACTGGACGATCGCTCTTCCTCCCGACGTCCTCAAATCCAACTTCCAGACAGGTCTGAGTCCACGTGAAGCTCATAGAATACAAAACCTTCTCTGCTGCATGTCCACTCACCTTCGGTCATGTTCGGAGGTGTGCTCGTTCTTCTGCTGAGTGACGACAACCAAATGTTCATTATTTCTTTACAGGCTCATGAGTTAGATGAGAAGCTCAACAACTCCTCTGAACTTAGATCGGACAAGAGCAAATCTCCCCTTTGTTACGTTTCAATGATATTTGTCAGATCATTGAAACACAGTCCTCTTACTCACATTTCAACTCTCACAGCTCTGAGTGCATCTAAATAATGAATTTCGGGGCTGCAGCCTTTGGAAGCTTCATGTAAAGACTGATTACATCACAGTGAGGCGATTAGATTAGACCAGACCAGACCAGACCAGACCAGACTAGACTAGACTAGCAGGTGGAGCCTTCCTGGCCCAACATATCCCAGGATTCATTGTTCATCTTTGGAAACCGGTTACCAAGGGGAAGTAAAACTTTCTCATCGTGTCCAACTTCAGCTGTGTTTCTAGAACGACAGTTATAAGGAACGGATGAGCTGGTGACGGCCTCTGCAGTCTACACAAAACAAGCGCCCCTGAATTCAGACAGCTGATGACAATAAAACCATCGTATCATAAGCTATTCTCAGACCTGAGCCTGAGTCCTGACACGTTCCTCACATGTTCTGTATGTGAGAACAAATGTCTGAGCCAGTGTCTCTGGACATTTTCTGGATCTTCTCCTGCAGCCTCTAGTGAAACATCTGTAAAATGTCAGAGTGAGTCCATGAGAGAACACAGCAGGAACTCTGAGGTTTCTAACACGTGACGGACGTGAAACTGAAGAACACAAATGTCTCAGGATGAAGAAGAGGAGTCGTACACGTAGAGGGCGAAGACATCTACTCGGAAAGACGAGGAGGTTCCAGATGTTTAGGTGATGAGGGCCGACGCCGTGTGGACGAGCTGTAAACAACAACACTGATCTTTACACAGTTTAGACGTCATGCCCCGCCTCCTGCTGCTCTACAGGCTCCGCCCCTCACCTGAATGTCCCCACATGTTCCTGTTGTTGTGAACGAGTCGACAATCTGCTACACACACTGACTACACAACATGTCTACACAACATGACTACACAATATGTCCAGAGTTCTTGTCTGAAAATATCTTCACACAAGTGAGAGAGAGAGAGGGTTTACTTTCATCTAACTTTGTGTGTGTGTGTGTGTGTGTGTGTGTGTGTGTGTGTGTGTGTGTGTGTGTGTGCAGCTGCAGATGGGAAGTACAGAGGTCTTGTTGATGTCCTGAGAACGCTGCTGCGTGAAGAAGGCCCTAGAGCGCTCTATAAGGGATTCAACCCCGTCTTCCTACGAGCCTTCCCTGCCAACGCGGTAACACTGAGCTTCTCTCTTGTCCTCAGCATCACCATGTCTCTCTCCTGAAAACCACAGAACCACCTGTCTCTAATGTCTCTAATGTCTCTAATGTCTCTAATGTCTCCACTGAAACTCCTCGCTCCTTCCTGTCTCCCTCAGGCCTGTTTTTTGGGCTTTGAAGTGGCTCTGAAGGGGTTAAACGTGATCGCACCCAGTTGGTGAAATAAACCAGTTCATCATGAGGAGTCAGCGTCTGGACCGACCTCCCTCCTGAGCTTCTTCTTCTTCTCTGTTTATTTTCACACGGTGAAATGTGAAGAATCTTTGTATTCTTAAATGTATTTTTACATTTGATTTTACAAATTAATTTTCTAGATGATGATTTAATACTCACTTTGTGTGAGCACAGGTTTTACATATATGCACATTTATAAATGTATTGTTTGAAGTGTCAGCTCTGAGCGTTGATCACTTTTTTAAACTATTTATGATGTTTGTAGATAATTAATCAGTGTTTGTTTCACTTGTGTAAAGACACTGAGGCACTGTTTTATAAACTTTGTGAATAAAGTGCTTGAATAAAAGGTGTGTACCTGGATCACCACCGGAGCCTCAGGTCGTGTAGGTTGTCATTTGTAATAATGTGCACAGTGAGAATAAATGTAAAGATGTCTTCAGGACATACAAACCTCGTGAAGGGACAGAGACAAACATGAGGCATTATTAGTTGTGTATTCACCACGATGTTGTATAACTTTACACATAATACCATCTGCTAATAATAATAATAATACGATTTTTTAAAATATATATAGTTTTATATACAGTTTAAATATATAGTTTTATATACAGTTTAAATATATAGTTTTTATCTACAGTTTAAATATATAGTTTTATATACACAGTTTAAATATGTAGTTTTATATACACAGTATAAATATGCAGTCTATAAAAAACAGAAGAGTAACTTCCGCTGCTGGTTTGTGATGTGACGTATCATGTGTCATTTCCTGTCATTTCCGGAGATGTCTACTGCGCATGCGTCAGCAGAGGACGAAGGTCCGCCGTCTTGTCTGCAGCCGGATCGAGTGGCTCCAGAAGACTACCTTACCCACAGTTCAGTGCGGGGCTTTCACTTCCGGTGTGTATGTCCGTCAGAGTGCAGCAGAAGAAGGTGAAGTGGAGATCAACGTGTGTTTCCTGCAGCGTTCACGTGTTTAGTGTGTAACTCACAGACACACACTGTGTGTTGTCTGTTGTGTGTGTCACAGTGTGTCACAGTGTCTGTTGTGTGTGTCACAGTGTGTGTGTTGTCTGTTGTGTGTGTCTGTTGTGTGTGTGTGTTGTGTGTGTCACAGTGTGTTGAACCTGTTTCTTCATTTCTCAGGTCGGAGCTGCAGACAGGTGACTCGCCTGTTGGAGTTAAATCCGCTGGTTACACTTTTATTACTTTATTTAATTCAGTGTTTTTCTTCAGGCTGAAAGTTTAAAGTGTCTTTCCCAGCTGAGCTAACTGTGGCTAACAGGCTAACTGCTGCTAGCTGCTGCAGTTAGCCTGTTAGCCTGAATGTTGAGTCAGTTCTAAATGAAGGTGTTTGTTAATGAAGAGGCTGAGTGACGTGCACACACGAGGCTGCACCTCCTGGAGAACCTGGTGCTCCAGGAGGTGAACAACACCAGGTTCTCCAGGAGGCTGCACCTCCTCCTTTTTCAATGTCTTTAATGAGCCTCAGAACATCTGATATTAACCTCATCACCTCTGTTGTTGGTCTGTGACACTGAACTAATGTGTTAGTGTAGCTGTGGACATTAATAACTTGAATTATCACATTGTGTGTGTGTGTGTGTGTGTGTGTGTGTGTGTGTGTGTGTGTACAGTCTGTGGAGAGCCGTGATGCCCCTGGAGGTCAGATGGCCGTTCCCTCAGAGCCCTGCTCTTGCATGGAGGATCTCCAGCTCCCTGATCATGGGCATGGTCGGCTCCTATTCCTACTTCTGGACCAGTACGTGGGAACATGTTTGTAATTTATACACGTGCACGTTGGAGCCAGACCATCAGGCTTCTGTGAGATGCAGAATATATCAGATTATATATGATTTTACAAAATGTTTAAAATTCCTTAAATGTTGTTTATGACCTTGATGACATCGAAACGTAAACGAGGTTTGATATTTTACACTTTAACGGCTAACGTCTAGATTTCTCAAAATAAAAAAGAACAAATGTATAGAACTTTAAGAAATAAACATTTTACATAAAGTAAATAATAAATAAATTAAACATTATTTATTCAGTCAAATAAAACTTGATGTTTCCAAGCACTGATCGCTGCTTCTTGTTTTTTCACTCCCCCTCTCTCTGCGTCCTCAGAGTACATGAACTGTTTGAACGTCCACAACCAAGAGGTTCTGCTCAACCTGATTGACCAGAGACCCGCTGACACGCCCCTCATCACGCTGTCCAATCACCAGTCCTGTATGGACGACCCACACATCTGGGGTAAAGACAATATGGCAGCACACGCATCATAAAACATCCTGTGGTCAGTTTTCTATTAAACATCACACGGTTTGATCTTGTGGAACGATGCGTTGATTGGATTCCTCTGATTGAAGAGAGAAGAACAGAAATCTGCTGTTGAAACATTTGATTTGCAAAGAAAACGATTGTGTTGTTCTCACTGTATTTATATGTTCATCCCTCTCTGTATTTTCACTGTTACACTATTATATAGATCAAAATGAATCTTTTATTCTGTTATATAACCTGTAGTGAAGATTGTGCATGTTTACATTTTTATTTGGATGTGGTTCTCATATCAGACGTTACACATATTTGTAACATTTGCTTTTGTATTTTGTATTTATGTTGTGTGAAATAAACTCAATTCCAAACCTGACCTGAACACAGTCCAGTCAGAAACAGTCCCTGTAAGAAAACTGTGTTTGAACAGGCGTGCTGAAGCTCAGACAGCTGTGGAGCTTCAACAAGATGCGGTGGTGAGTCTTTTCTTTCACACTCTCTCAGTCGTAGAAAACGCTTTGATCTTTTGGATGATGATTATTGAACCGCCTGTGACTGATGGACAGGACCCCAACAGCGTCCGACATCTGCTTCACCGTGGAGCTGTACTCCAGATTCTTCAGCCGTGGAAAGTGTGTTCCCGTCTGCAGAGGTGAGGGTCTCACAGCTGCTTGCATCACCCCACCCACCCACCCCACCGCAGCTCAACAACTGTGTGTTCTGAACGAGCCACTCGTTTTTACGTGTTGTCTCCAGGTGACGGCGTTTACCAGAAAGGTATGGATTTTGTTCTGGACAAACTGAACAGAGGAGAATGGGTGCACATTTTTCCAGAGGGTACGTGAACCTTCCTGCTCACAGCTTCACTTTGTCTATCCTCCTGTTCTCTTTGCTCCCGTTCACACCTGGTTTGAACGTCTGTCTCAGGTGATCTGATCAGTTTGAGTAGTCACCGTCTGTGTGTCCCTCTGTGTCCCTCTGTGTCCCTCTGTGTGTCTGTCTGAGTGTTGGAAGCATGATATATGATTTGACAGTATAATCATTATATTTGGGTCAGTGTTGTAGCCACAAATAAATAATACAGTAAAGATGTGCGTTTGTATTTTAAATCAAAGTTTATGGTTAACTGTAAATATCAAACCTCAGCTACGTGTCTTCGTCAGAACGGTTTGATAACATCTTTGGAATCACATTGCAATTTATTTTTCATGTATCGTATCCGTCAGCTGATATGTTGGGCTCAGATGTTTTCTCGTTCTGGGAATCAAGCACTTTCTGTCTCGTTCCTTTTTCACAGGCAAAATCAACATGACTGAAGAATTCATACGACTGAAATGGGGTGAGAACCGTTCGTGTTCCTGTCGTGCTCCATCGTCCAGTCACGATAATGTCGAGCAGATAGAGAAGGTTTTTGATCTTGAGCTGTGTTGCCTGTTGCGTGTCTGTCTCAACTTCCTGGTGTGTGTTCCAGGTGTGGGTCGGCTCATTGCAGATTGCTCCCTCGATCCGATTATCCTTCCGCTGTGGCATGTGGGTGAGTTCACACCTGATCAATGACTTCATAAAGTGAAGATATATATTATATAAAGTATGAAGATGAAAGAACGCCACTCTTCTCCCACGTGCATATAGAAGTAATGTATTTGTCCTTCTGTCTTAGGTCTGACTGACGTTCTGCCCAACACGCCGCCCTACATTCCTCGGATCGGCAAGGTGGGAGCGACAAATGTTCATTTAGGTTTTTTCCCCCTGGTGGCCAACAGCTGTTAACTGTCGTACTTTGTTTGTGCTTTGTTTGTGTCTGTCTGTCAAAGTGGACACTCTGATAACGAGGGCTGTGTATGTGCATGTGACTGACTGCAGCCGTGTCTGGTGGTTTCCTTTCAGAAAATCACCGTCCTGGTCGGGAAGCCGTTCAGCGTGAAAGACCTTGTTGAATCACTCCGAGCCGACAACAAGAGCCAGGTGAGGACGGAGTGGATTCCACATGATATACACGTGTTTCAAGTAAAGACATCCAAACTGAACTGTTCCTCATCATGTTACCTTCGAATCTGATGTTTAGTCACTTGAGTTCTTTTCATCAGATTTCTGGGAACTCGTGAATCTGTCGCACGAAACCAAACATTTGAAGATGTTGCTCTGGGAGCTGATATTCTGAAAACCAACGAATGTGTCAATGAAATCACTTGAACATGAATCAGCTTGATGTTTTCGGGTTGTTCCTGTGAAAGTCTCCAGAGGGAGTTTTCTTGAACTTGGCACAAATGTTCAGTTGGTCTCAGAGATGAACTCAAAGGAAACTGTGATCTACAGATGTTCGATCCACAGTCCACGTCACTGGTCTGTGACGGGGTGAACGGCCACATGAGCAGAATATTATTCAACACGTTCTTTTTCGTTTCCTTTCAGATGGAAATGAGAAAGACTCTGACTGATTTCATCCAGGGGGAGTTCCGGAGCCTGAAGGCCCAGGCTGAGGCCCTTCATGGGCAGATACACACTAGATCCTGAGTCACAGCCAATCACAGTGATGATCCTTTACCCTAAAACTGAGGGTAACATTAAACACTGGACTGTTTTTACCACATTTCATGGTATCTGCTCACATCCTCTGCTCTGCGACACCCAAAGCTCCAGAGAATCCACAGAATCCTGACTCACTGAAGATGCATTGGGATCATGACCATTGAAAATCCGGCTCTTCTGTGAATGTGGGTGCAACAGAAACTCCTCTGTATCTCAGCCAGCGTTTGAAACAGGCTTCAAGTTTTCATTTCATCGATCAGGTTCAGGTGCTAAAACAGGATCAGGACAAACTGTGGAGGACAGATGACGGAGTCCTTGAAGTCCTAACAGCCTCTGCTGCTCCTGTGAGCTGTCTGTGACTGAGGAGAGAAACGTCTCCGCCAATTGTAGAATTTCTGGAATAGATTGAAGCTTCTGAATTAACTTCAGCTGTTATTTTACTGGAACCAGCTCAGTGTCCAAAGAAAGACGTGAATGTTGGACGGTTCATTATCACTGCAGGGAGCAGTGTGTTCTTTATGTGAACGGGTGGAACGTTCAGGTGTGTTGGTCTGAAATGTGACACTTCACACTTTTATGCAAGAGGCCAGAACTTCCCTTCACCATAAATTCACAATTCTTAAGATTTCAGTGTCAATTCAGTCTCGTTTTTATTTTTTAAACTAAATTCTCAGTCGCTGATGATAAAAAGAGGAATGAGAAAAGTCACTGAGCAGCTACTTTATATAGAAATACACCAGATTATTTCTGAAGGAGCGTTTTGTATGGTTTTTGTATCATTTTACACAACAGTCAAATAAACTCACAATATTTTAATGGAAAGGAAGACGAACGTTTTTCGTGGTGCATCTTGTTGTGATTTGTGCACTTTCTGCTCCGTGTCATATTTAAAACCATCAGCTGATCGATGTCTTGTGCTGCTGATAAAAATATCACTGCTTCGTGATAAACGCAGTATAGTACATATCCTGTGGCAGCTTCACAATAAAAGTTGAACCCTTTTGACATGAAGCAGCAGTGGTTAGAAATGCTGGGAGGAAGTCACATGACAAATGAAGAGTCTAAAGACGACAATGCGAAACAGTCACCACAGAAAGAGAAATACGCTCATGATGTAGAAGAATTCAAATGAATTCATTAATAAATCAGTAATCCGGGCTTTGCAGGATGGTTCAGTTATTTTCTAGCATTCAGATTGAATTCACTTGTTTCCCCGTTTATTAGGAGAACGCTACACAAAGCTGCTGTTGTTGAAATACTAAATATTTATTGTGCTCCTCTGTTTGACAGATTTATAATTTATAACGGGAGACACATGTTTTCTGTTTTAACTTTAAATCTGCTCAGGAACACCATTGTGTTCCCTGCTCTCTGTAAATCTCAACTTCACATACACATATCATTTCGGTTTAGATGATTTCTTCTTCCGACACATTAAACTGTGAAGTTTTCTGTGGACCTTTCCAACGTGTCACTCATGTGTATAACTTTTCATCACAGAGGTCAGGGGCTTTTCTAAAGAAGGAAGTGCTGCGGCTGAGTGATCTCTGTTTTCTAATGAATGTGTTGCCTTACTGTGATTTCCACTGTTTCCTCTCGAATGTGAACAATAAAGTGTTTGACTTTTCCTACATTTCACCGTCAGACTCGTTGGTTTCCATGACAACATGTGAATCATTCAACAGTTTTTTAATCACTGTTCTTAACAATGTGATATTTGTAAACATTGCACTGCTGCCACGTGATTGGCTGGGTAGTCACATGACAAGCAGCTGCTCAGGTGTTCCTAATAAAAAGCTCAGAGTGTTTGAACCTGATGTTTATTTCCCTGCAGGAGCAGGTTTATAGTTTTTATTTTTTATCCTTTATCAGTCACGACACATGACACATCACACCAATGTACAAAAACATTAAAAAGAAAACTACAAATGAGGAATTGGACAGAAGGAGAATTAAAAGTTAAATAAAAATAAAATATCCGGCCGGCGCAGGATCCCTACGTCATCAGGCAGCGACTGTAACCGCCGCAGCGGGAGTAGTTGAGTTTGAGTTCCGGTGTCATCGCAGCTTCTCTCCGGTTTGTCGGAGTTTGTCGAAGCTGCTGTGAAACAGTTTGTCCTTCTTCGCTCAGACTCGTGTTCGGCTCCAGACTCCGGTTTCTCTCCGGGTCTCGTTGTTCATCCGCTCCACGCGTCGTGACGCCATGACCCAGAGGAGGAAGCTGCCGGGCTCCGTGAGTTCACTTCGTTGTGTGTCTGTGAAAACCGAGTGATCAGAGGGTTCCGGTGCCTCCAGGTGAGTAAAACACGTGTTCCAGGAGGCAGCAGGTGATTCAGCGCTGTGGTTTGTGAAGAAGTATAGATAAATACCAGCTGAGGTGACGGCACAGATAGATGTCTCTTTCAAACACGATGGTTCTGGAGCACAGCTCGACTGAATGGAGTCATGGTTCTGAATGAAGGTTTTGTCAGTGGGGGGGTGAAGTGGAGCCTCGTGTGATATCGTGGGAGGTCGTAGCAGAAAGTCTGTCTGGTCTCAGCCTCCGTCTCTACACGCAGAGACAACACACGTCCTTCGGGACTCAGGAGGATGACGAGGACCCGACCTTCACTCAGCCGAGCACGTCACAGGTCCAGAGAGGACTGGAGAAGTTCACCCCTGCACAGGTCGACCAGAAGGTACGATGCGTAGAAACCCTACGTGTTCAATGATCCAGAATGTATTTGAGAACATCTGTATTTATCTCCACGTGTTCGTCTGTGTGTCTCGTAGACAGCAGAGGTGGTGCAGTACTTCCTGGTGAAGGACCAAAAGAAGGTTCCCGTACGCCGAGCAGGTGACGTCGCACAACCGCTGTGGTTGTCCGTCCAGACGATAACACAACCGCAGAGTCTCCAAACTAAAACGGGACCTGCAGCTTTTACAGAATGCTCTGATTTAGAGGCCGGAACAGTCGAGTGCACGGCAGACATGCATGTAACAGGGATGTGTTTTCAGACGAGTGGATATAAGTAAATACAACAATAGTGTCATTTCTCTTTTTTACAGACTTGGTGAAACACGTGGTGAAAGATTATAGAAACATTTACCCAGAGATCATGAAGAAGGCAACACGGACGTTTGACCAGGTTCGTTCCGTCAAACAGCATCAATCACGACGCAGCAACGTTTTAATGACAGAAAACTCACATTTAAACAAACTTCTCTTCTCACTGAACCAGGTGTTTGGTCTCAAACTGGTTGAGATCGACACCAAATATCACGTGTACATCCTCGTTAATAAGCTGGAAACGGCCGAGGAAGCCTCAGGGATCAAGTGAGTTCTGTCAGTCATGGATATTTAGACTTTCATCGTGTTGGTCACGCTGCCTCATAACTATTTTATGATTCCTCACCATCTGTTCCACGTGTTTGTGCACAGCAGCCCCACCAATCCAAAGACGGGTCTGCTGTTCGTCATCCTCAGTGTTATTTTCATGAAAGGAGGCGTCGTTAGAGAAAGTGAGTGAGTTAAAAATATATACATGTATTTTGTTTGTTCACAATTTTTTTTCATTTGGTCCCTGAAAAACATGGCTGTGTGTTTTTGTTCTGTAGCCCTCATCTGGAACACTCTGAAGAAACTCCGTGTTGACGCTGGGTGAGGAGGATTTTATTGCACTCCATCTTTTAAACATCTAATCCATCTTAAAAAGGATTTTGACAGGAAACAAGATGAAGTAAATGTTTTTTAAGTGTTTTTAACTTCAGTCTCAATTTTAAAATGGATTTTGGGGGAAAAAAAAAGTTTTTAATCTCGTTGACAAAACAAATTTCTGCGGCAGCTGAGAAAGTCGTTCTTGTTTTTCTCGACACTAAACCTCTGAGGTCGATGACAGTTTAAATTCATGTTCAACAAAAACACTCGATGTCACAGTCTCTCTTTGCCGATCAGATAAAATAACTTCACGGTCACATGTCTGACATGTCTCCACAGCAGATGTCATGTCATGAAACTGATGTCATGTGAAAAGTCAGAAAAAGTCGTTGAGCGAACACAAAGATTTGAAATGCAACTTGTTTAAACTCTGGTGTTTTTCTGTTTCTGTTCATTTTCTTTTTCTGATGATTAAAAATCTTCAGAGTGAAACATGAAGAGTTTGGTGACGTGAAGAGGCTGGTCACAGACGAGTTTGTGCGCCAAAGGTAAGAGTTAACCGTCGTCCCCTCGGGTCAGTGAACATGACAGAGGCCTTCACTTTACTTGTACACGCTCGTGTGAAACCAGCTTCCTGCACAGGTTCTCTTTTGATTCATCTGGTTTGTTTCTTGTGGATCCGAAGTCAGATATTCTGATATAATAGAGGTTTTCTCATTTACATGATATTTAAGGTTTTTACAAGAGGCTGTTTTCCATTTATCCGATTGTCCCCCACCCCCCCACAGCTATAAGTGTGTGTGTGTGTGTATCTTTCACCCTGACGATGGCTCAGTCCTGTAATCCAGTGGTTCTGTAATCAGAGGTCGCAGGTTCGAGCCCCGCTGTGTTTCACCGTGCTGGTGTGTTCAGAGCCAGTGTCTTTCAGACCGTAGACTCTGGTTTATACCACACCACAGAGCAGCAGGAGAGAGAGAGGAACTCTAGACCTCTACAGCAGAGAGGCTGGACCAACACTCACTCCGACATGATCCAGCATCAAGTTCCAAGTGTCTGTTTTGAACATCTAAAATAAAACAGCAATAATTCATGTCAGATAAAGTTCCCGCCGTCGAAACGCAGCTCGTACTGTACTTTAATGCACTCAGAGCTGTCCAGGTGTTACCAGGTGTTACCAGGTTTAAATCTTCACGCTGTGTTTTGATATCCTGTGTGTGTGTGTGTGTAGGTACCTGGAGTATGTGCGGATCCCTCACACAGAACCAGCTGAGCATGAATTTCACTGGGGTCAACGCGCAGACTTGGAAGTATCAAAAGCCAAAATCCTGGAGTTCATGGGTCAAGTAAGTGTCATGGACGAGCAAACTGAACCTTCCTGCAAATTCTTCTCTCAAATAAACTGACGATGTGTCTGACGACGACCTGTGTTTGACCTCAGCTTCATGATCAGGAGCCTCAGAGCTGGACTCAGCAGTACAGAGAAGCCCACTCCACCCCCGACTCGACGCAGGCCAGCACCAGCAGCCAGAGATAAATGACCCAGTACTCCTTTCCCCTTATTCTTATTTATCCAGTGTGATGCTGGGACAGAAGCTGCATCCGCACCACACGTACATCCTGTACGTTCACACACACACACTTCACTACATTGAGCTTCAGATTCCTTTTTAATGACTTGTAACATCACACAAAAGCTCCAGGTATCCGTTTGCATTTTATTGCCTGGATGTTAACATCACAGTTCAAGTTCAGAAAATAAAATCTTTTATAACAGATTCAACATCAGTGATTTGCATTGATTGACATGGTTTTTTCACTCATTTCTCTCTCACACACAAACACACACACACACACACACACACACTCACTGCCATTGGACAAGGACAGAAGGACAAGGACAGCAGGACAAGGACAGCAGGTTTACACAGGAACAAGCAGCACGTTGGAGCCGTGACCGTGGACACAGATCTGATCCGACCTAACTAAAAGCACAAATCACTGCTGTGACACTTTCTACAACTGAACATGTTTTTAAAAGGATGACTTGAGGTTAAATACCAGTTTCCTGACCGAGACACTCGTCACATTGTGTGGGAAGAAGTACATGCATTTACTTACACCGTCGTGTGCTGGCATCCAGTTTGTCTTTTTTTTAAAACGAGGATCTTCTGAAGAGGTGACTGTTTTTTCAATGTTTTCCTCAGGTCACACAAACGAGCTGTAAAAGTTAATACGAGAAGCACAAAGCTGGGACCTGTGTCGACATTAGCACGTCGTCCAACTCTCTGGTCTGAACTCTCGTATCATGAAGCTGACGCCAGAGTTCCCAAACCTTCCTGACCCCTAAAAGACGTGTGACCCCCTTTGTTGCCATAAAGCTTTTTAAAATTAACTTTTTATTTCTCTCTCTTGCCAATTTTGGTTGAAATACACTTTTTTTTAAAATGTTTATTTCTGTTCCTGACCTCAGGATTTAGATCACTACAGGATCCTTAATTAGGGAAAGAGGTTTGTCAACTCTGGGTTAAAACATGATTTGACCACCAACAGCCTAGTGGACGATTCACATCGATGTATATTAGTTTGTCATGATTGAGTAAATATCACATTTTATTAATTATTTGTACGATCAGATTTTTCTCTTTGCTCTGGCAGCAGGGAGAAGCTTGTGTTTATGTTTTAGTATTAAAAATGGTCATTCATTTTCAAATTGGCACCACGTCTATGTGGAACTCCCAAAGTGTTGAGTATTAAAATTAAAATGTGCAAAACAACAATTTGTTAAATGACTGAAGAAATTGTTCTTAACAGCCATTTTGCACTCATGCCTGAATAGTTTGGGGCCAGATTAAAAAGTATGTGGATGGCACAACAGGA